GAAGAAGAAGAAGAAGAAGAAGAAGAAGAAGAAGAAGAAGAAGAAGAAGAAGAAGAAGAAGAAGAAGAAGAAAAGAAATTTATTCTTAACATTTTTTCAAGGACATAGATTATTAGATCATTTAACCAGTTAAGGAGAGTTCATAACTCTCAGGTTCCTAAACACTCATGTCCCATAATCCCACTATTAAAGTTGCTAAAGACACTTTATAACTTGCTTTTTGAGAAGACCCTTAAACAGCTACATGTAATATGGAAAGAGATTCCATTACAGTCATGTGGGACTTGCTTCTATTTCCCTCTCAATATATGATTAAATATGATTAAAGATACCATATTATAATAAGGTAACCTTGGAGACTCACCGTAGGGAAGCCACAGATGATGGATTCATTAGCTTGAACATGGGAAGTTCATGCAGTCGTGAAGACGAAGTCAAGGAGTAGGAAATGGGAACACTAGTTACTTGGGCAGCTGTCTTTTCTGAGGCAAGCTCCTCATTTGTAACCAAGCCTAGGGGTTGGGTGACTTGCAGCAGCTTCAGTAAGAAAACAAACAAGTATCAATGTCATTTGCCTGAAAACGGACCTGGGGCCACTATCAGAAATTATCAACACTTTAGGAACAGTTTTTTTAAAAAAAATCAGTGCTCCAGAATCCCGAGAGGACAGAGACCATGGACTAGTGGGACACATACTAGCTGGACAGCAACAATCTGTGGAGGAGTTAGTCTATGTAAGGCACTGTGCCCTGGTGTTTTACAGCAGCCTGCTTAACTCTCAGATAGATTCAGTTACCTAGGCTTTCTTTGTTCTGAGTGGGAAAACTAAGACTGGGAGAAGACATAAAACACTGATACAAAGTCACAAATTGAAGAACTTCCATGCATGACTGATTCAAGGATTGGCTGATTTTAGGATTTTTCCCTGTATGAAGGAATGAATTGTTGAATAAATTGTCAACATAGCAAAAAGTGCAGTACTAACTTGAACATAAAAAGGAAATGTATTTTATTGAGAAACAAATTCCACAAAGGAGCATAAACAGTAACGGAAGGGCAGCATTAGCTGAGTATCTTAGAATTATTTTTTCTGCACATCTGCGTGGAAAGGGTGAGAGAGTAAGAGGCAGAGGCAGCTGCATTCAGTTGACACAGCCCAGTGTCTAGCATTGGTAGAGCCTCACTGGACACTTTCTGTATGTACGGCTATGGGGGAGACATTCTGAGATCTATAGTTCAGAAGAGCCAGAGTCAGAATCCAAGAGATCTCAAGACTCGAGCTAGAGTTCTTTGCATGTAATTTGAAAGGGCATAGATTGGGATATGGAACCAATGACTAGAGGAAAAGGTAAAGAGTTGAGCCCATGTTAATGTTCCAGAAGGAAAGTATCCTTTCTTGCCAATTTGCCAAAGGATCAAAGCAAGATTAGGAAGATCTTTCGATTCAGATGGCAGGTGACCCCAATGTTAAATCCTTTGATCCGATTCAGATGGCAGGTGACCCCAATGTTAAATCCTTTGAGCAGTCTTTTTTAGCTCAGGCTACCCTCACTTGTCTGCTTGCTTCCTCTTTTTCCAGAGCTTTAATGCTATGTCTACCATTCTGTCTACAAAATTTGTCTTGTCTTGTTTGCTCTTTTGCCTGCATGATTCATAAAGTTATACAAAGTGTATAATATGAATTATATAGGAAACATCTCAAAATTTCCACATGTAAACTAGACTGTTGATTCTAACCCCTTCCACCTCAAAGCCCTCACTGTCTAGACCCCCAAGTTTCAGGAAATAGCACTAATGTCTGTGCAGTTGCTTGTGTCAGAAGTTCAGGTAGCATCATTACCTCCTTTTCTGTACTGCCTGACCTCCAGTAAGTCCTGTGAGATGTCTTCAAAATACTTCACATCAGGGTTTCCCAAGTTTATTTCACATTGAAATCTCTTGGGGGAAAGTGGTACTGTGTCCTGTCCTCAGTGATTATGATCTAATTAATCTGAATTTCAAGCTGTCTCATCCCAAGTCCGTACAGCTGCAGGCAAGTTTGAGGACCATTGATATAAATCAGAGCACTGGACTGAGCTCCCAAAGTTCAGTTCAAGAATGGGAGGAGTGAGAATATGAGCAAATAGGTCAAGACCTTGATGGGTTCACCCACTGAAACAGTCTACCTGAGCTAATGGGAGCTCACCAACTCTAGCCAGACAGGGAAGGAAAAGAGCACAGGATTTATCCCTATTGATTGTATTGGCTGTTTTGAACTTGTTCTCTTTGGATGGATACCTTGCACAGCCTAGCTATAGTAGGGAGAGCCTTGTACTTGGTCCAAAACAATGTGCCTTACCTTCTAGGAGGAGTGGATAGGGGGATACAGTGGAGGGAATGAGAGGAGGGGTGAGAGTGGAAACTGGTATTGGTATGTAAAATGAAAAAGAGATAGTTTGTTTTCTTATAAATAAACAAACAAGCAAACAAACAAGTAAATCCTGCATCCCAGTTATCATACCTCTCTATCACCCCTGTGTGAATGATTGTAATACCTCTCAAGTCATTGCTGGTTTTTTTCTTTCCCTCCACCATCCATTTTTATGCAGTTAAGTAATCTATTCCAAATGTAGGTCATAGCAAGACACCCTTCTATGTAGAACACTCCAGTGGCTTTTTGTTGGATCAAGTAAAACCCAACTCTTTTATCAGACCTTCTTGATTCTGTAGACATAATTTCGATGTTCCTTTTCACTGATACTCTTCAACTCTCTCACCTGTGCTGCACTGCCGCCGCATCAGCCTCCGGCGTGGGTTCTCCCACATGCCAAGCTGATGTGCACCTCAGAACTTTTGCATCTGTTGCTCATTTTGCAGGATGTCTTTTTCCTAATGCTGATGTCCTGATCCTTCAGTTATCAGCCTGAAGGCCATTTCTTCAAGATAGCCTGAGATAAACAGTGTTCTTTCATTCATTGACTCTCAGATTTATGTATTTGCTTGTTTGGAGTGTGATTTTCCTGCTAGATCAAAATATTGATAAGGTGATAATAATCCATGTTCTTTTTGTTTATTATTGTACTATTAAGATGTAGAATGGTTCCTGCCTAAAAGTTGTTTCTTATTAAATCCTTGTTTACTATCTGACCATTTGAATGATAAAATACATTTTTCAGAAAGACAGATTTGTTCAGGAGCTTGGAACATTCAAGATTTGCAATCCTCACAGTGGTAGTAGGACATGTGTCCTATGTGTAGGAGAAGGGCAAGGCAAAAACCTAAAATTCAAATCTGGTTTTCTTTGTATTTAGAAAAATATAGGACCATGAGTTGGATTTAGTATGGAGCACAATAAGCAGAAGTTATAGGGTGTATTAATCAGAGTACTCTAGTTTATGCTGGCACAGCAAGCAGCCTCAGAATCTCCAGTGCCTCAACACAAGCACGAGTTTACGTCTCATTCACGTAATGACTGATGCGGGACTGGGAAACTCCAGAAAGTTGTCTTTCTCCATATAAGAGTTCAACACTCCAAATTACATGGCTTTTAAGACCACACTATGTCAATGTGGCCACAAAAGAGAAAACAAGCGATCATCAATTCTTACATACTTTTGTTTATATTCACTGGCCAAAACGAAAGGTCCCAGTCAAAGTGGGACAAAGAGAAAAGAACCTTTTAGCTTTTAAGTGTGGTAAAGTGCTATGGTCCCCATTTCTGGCCAATATATGAAATGTAGTTCTGTAACTATATTTGAGGAACCAGATAGGCATGACAGAAACAAGAGTCTCCTGGAGGAATCAGCCTCGACGGTAGTCGCCCCATTCATTTCCTGATCAGTTTTCAAAGTCTTGTGGCAAGAGATGTTAAGGCACCAAGACTATAAATGCTCTGTCCTTCTGAGACAGTCTTCGAGTCAGCCTTTGTGGGGGAATATTCTTATTTTTATCATTATACTTCTGACTTAAGATCCATTTTGTATGCATGGGTGTAATACTCAAAGCTTTCCAAATAAGGTACATTTGTATTTAAAAAACAAACAACAACAAAAATCCAAATGGTCTCTTGTCAGTCTTCTCAAGAAAGTTCCAGACCTTAGTGACTTTGAAATAGAATCAGTGTAATGTTTGTAATCAGGGTCTTCCTTGATCCATCAGTTGGTAACATCAGGTACAGCCTAGAAGTCATCTAATTAGTGTGCACACAGAGGTTGCTGTATCTTTGTTTCAAGACTGTACTTACTGTCATCTTGTCTCACATACATTTCTGGTCAATGAATTTGATCTTTTGCCCCACTCAAGCAGTGTCATAGGTTGCTTTCTTCCTCAGTTGGTAGTTAAATATTGAAATAAACAAGAGATCTCTTGGCTGCAAATGCTAACCTCGAACTGTACTTTAATCCAAATACATGACTTGGAGTAACAAATCTTGAAAAGAAGTTTATGTTTTCTGACTTTCCTTGGGGCCGTATGTGAAGTTTCTCTGTGCTGCTAAACTCATGCGATGAAAATATCAGGAAAAAAAAAAAACTTGACTGAACTTTAAACATACTTTAAAGATAAACCAAATGGATTCTTGTCAAGTTTCTCAAAAAAAGTCCTAGATCTTAGTGGATAAAAAGAGAAGAAAATAATAGCGGTGAGGGCTTCAGGATTATCAACTGCTGTGTGAGTACCATGAGCATTCGTGGTCATGGGGATGCCGCTGAGTGAGCTATTTCAGCCGCTCTCTCAATGCTGCCTGGAAAGGGAACAGGCTCCAGTATCCAATCTTCACCCCAGGAATATGTCTCTCATCCAGCAAGATATGCTCTCCTGGGACACTCAACATTTATTTTGAACCTTTCAATGGTTAGGTTGAGCTGTGATGTTTAGACTATTCTGGGATGCCTCTGTCTCTTCAATAGGTCTTCCACAAACACATCAAACCCTGCAGGGTG